CGCTGCCCTCTCTGCCTGCCCCGGCCTGGCCTTCACCCCACCCCGCTGGCTAGCGAGGCGGCCCTGAAATGCCATCTAAGCTCCTCTCTCTGCTCTAGGACCTCAAGGCTGGGCATGGCGCCATGGCCTCCTCTGACACCCTGCTCCCCAGCCTCAACCCCTCCCATCCGGCCAGTCTTCCCCACTTTCTCCACAGGGTCCTCCGAGCCCCCCTGCACCCCATCAGCCTCCCAGGCCCTGGCTGGTGGTCCCCTGTCCCCCACACCAGGCATCTCTTCGGCTTCCTCTGTCCCCACTTCCTGAGGCCCGGAATCTCCTGCCCCCTGCCCTAGACCCCCCAGCCCTCTTCTTCCCAGCCCCACCAGCTTCCTCTGGGCCAGTGACTCCCCAGTGCCAGCCACGGGCTGCCCCTCTGCTGTGAAGGCTCCCTGGGGACCCCGCCCCGCTCAGCTAGCCTCCCTGAGCCCCTCCAGGCCTGGAGGGGGCATGACCTTTCTCGAGCACCAGCGCACTGGTAGTGGCCGTGGTTCCAGGGGCTGAGGGTCAAGTCACCGAGTGCCTGCGAGCCTGGCCCTGGGCTTCTGGGGGCTGGGCCAGGGAGGACTGCCGGAAGAGGCGGCCAGGTAGGTGCGGGCTGCACACTTACTTTCTCAGGGCCTGGCCGGCTGCAGGGGTGGGTCTGGGGCTGAGAACACGCCCAGCTGCCGGACTGGTGAGGCTGGAATCTGAGGCCATTCTGCATGGCCTTTGGCTCCAGGATACAGAGATTCCTGGCACCAGGCTCAGCCTGGGTGGGTAGGGAGGGCAGGGGCACCTCAACAAGCCAAGCTGGAGGCCCTGGCAGGGCTGGCTGAGGGGGCACATGGTTGCAGGTGCCCCCAGCCCCTCTGCATCCCGGGCCTGCTTCCAACAGAGCAGGGGAGGGACCCTCTCCTGCCTGGGCCGGTCTCAGGCCTGGAGGACAGGGTTGGAGCCCTCCTGGGAAAGCACAGATTCCATCCCCACGCCCCCACCTCAGGGCCACCTGGGGCAGGACCTTGGGGCAGACAGGGGGTCCTGGGAGACAAGCTGCTAAAAATAGGCCCTGGGAATGTCTGAGTGCCTGTGACTCAGCCAGGCCTGGAGGAAGGGCAGGGAGGGGTGGACTCTGGGGGTAGGCAGCCGGCTCTGGCCCCAGCTCAGCAGTGGTCCCGGAGTACACATTGGCCCCACAGGGCACTGGGTGCAGGAAGGCCAGAGCAGCCCTGCCGGCCTCCAGCCCTCGAAGGGGACAGCCTTACTCTTGTCCATGCTGAGGACGGGGCCCAGAGACTGGGGCGCGGGGTGGAGGCTTCAGGAATGGCTGGCAAAGGCCAGGGGCAAGTGCCGCGGCGTATGGTCCGGGATGGGGGTGAATCTGTGTAGCTCCGAGGGGCAGAACTTCCCTGGAAGATTCCTCAGAGGCCACTGGGGCCCAGCCTTGCTCCACAAGTTCTCCCAAGTGCCTGGAACCCCAGTGAACCCGCCTTGGGGCCCCCACCTGCCCCCTCCATCCAGAATCCTGCTGCGGGGCAGGGTCCCACCTGGTTCCAGTCTGGGTGGAACACGAGCAAGTGAGGGCATGGCCGTGAGCACTGAGAGGGTGAGCCACATGGTGGTGGCCTTGGCCAGCAGCCAGAACCCTGCGGTAGCCTCCCCCAGGTCTCTGGGCCCTGGGTGCCCTCACGCTGGCAGAGTGAGGGGCGCGTACTCTGGGCACAGAGCAGCCTGGGGCAAGTGGCTGTGCTGGTCGCTCTGTCCCTTACACTCCAGATGCCTGCAGCCCTGGGGCCAGTGCTGGGAGGGAGAGCGCGCGGCTGGGCGCTGCTAGCACGGGGGGCCGCGTCTCGGGATGCGCCTGGTGTTTCACTGTGCCTCGTGTGTCCGTGCAGCAGACGCCACTAGTGCCCCCAAAGAAACGGGTGGTGGGCCAGGCAGCAGGGCTGGGTCTTGAACTGGCCCGGTGGTCCTGAGTTTGGTTGACTTTGGGCTGGGTCAGTGCCCCGCCCCTCCAAGAGCTTCCTAGGGCAGGTGAGCTGATGCAAGCGGGAAGCCTGCTCCTGGAGGGCTGTTAGGGCCTGGCTGGCACCTCACAGGGAAGCCTCAAATGGGGGCGTGCCTGGCCAAAGAGTCTAGAGGCTGTGGGAACGGTCCACCCTGCACAGCCCCCAGTGCTGGGGGACTGTAGCTTTGGGGGGGTCCTTAATTTCACAGGCGGGCAGGACAGACAGGGAGCTGGGGGAGCTGAAGCTTTGGGAGGGTTCCAGGGAGAGAGCGTGTGTGTGTGTGTGTGTGTGTGTGTGTGTGTGCTGTGTGCGTGTCTGTAAAAACTGTGCTAAATACCAACCCGAGGGCTACGCCCATGGGTCTTGGCCCCTGTTGGCCTCCTCCCCACACCAGCCTGCGCTGTGGCTATGGCAACGGCAATAACAGCCGGGCAGGCCAGGAAGAGACTCATCACCCTGGTTTGCAAGGGGAGGGCTCTTACTCCCCCACTCCCAGAGTCTGGGGGGGCTTGGAGTCCGGTGGGGGGAGGGGTCATCCCCAGGGTCAAGCGTGCAGAAGGAAGCCAAGCCCAGCTCAGGGTGGCCCTCCCTGCCCCGGAGCCCCCCAGAGACGCTCAGATGGGTGTGCCCACACAGATGTGCCCACAGGCCCTGGACACACGTGCGCATCCAGGCTGCCAGCCGTTCACTGCCCCCTCGGGTTCATCATGTGGGGGGAGCTGACCCCCGCCCATCACACCTACTTGGGCGGTACGCGCACCACGTGTGACCTGACCCCGGGGTCAGCCATGACAGACACCCACCTCCCCAGATGGTCCCACCTGGTACCCCCACCCACCTGGCCCTCTCTGTCACCGGGGGTCTCGACCCTTCCTCCCCTCTCTGCTTCTGCCTGTCTGTCTGCATGTCTGTCCGTGTGCCCGTCCCCCACCGGCTGTCTCATTTCCACTTCTCTCTGGATCATGAAGCCGTGAGTGGAGTGAACCCGGGCCAACCTTCCTGTTTCTGCTCCTGGCCTGGTGGACCAGGCACGGGCCAGGGAGACACCAAGGGCTGGGTGGGGGCAGGTGGGTGGCCGCAGCTCCAGAAACCGTGGAGGCACTCACTCCTCGGGGGGAGAGGGTGGTGAGGCTCAGGGCAGGGCAGGCTGGGTGGTTCCTGCAGTGGAGGATGGGCACCCCCCCCTGAGGGCAGCGGGCAGCCAGCCACCTAGGGCTCCAGGGCAGGGCTTGAGCTCTGTGGACCCCAGGGCTTGCAGAGTCCCAGTGGGGGACAGAACTGTGGCCCACCCTCAGAGTGGGGGGTCCCAGGGAGGAGGGAGGATTAGAGAGTGGTGGGGGAGGGTGGGGTCCCGTGCGCCTACCTCCCAGAGGCTGGGGCATGCTCCCCCACTGTGGGGCCTGGCGGGGGGCAGAGGGCAGGGCAGGTCGGGGTGGGGGTACTGAGGTGGAGGTGGCCTGGCTCCCCTCCTCCCAGCAACAGGCCCGGGGGGCAGGGGGGGTGGGCGAGGCTGGGGGGGTTAGGGTGAGGGGTTCCCTCTGCTCAAGTCTGAGGGCCTCTCAGAAGATGGTCTCCAGTGCCCTCCGTGGGGACAGGGCCTGGTCAGGCCCAGAGATGACGATTTGTTTTGAGAGGCGGGTGTGTCGAGGGGAGCTGAGGACACTGGTGAAGGTTCGGGGGTGGGGGGCAGGATGGAGAGAGGACTGAGCGCTGAGGCTCTGGTGAAGTCAGGGAGCTGGGTGTGGCTTGGGGGGTCACGGTGGAGCAGAGAGGTGGAGGGCCCACAGGGAGGGGAGCAGAGGCGAGAGGGGGTGCCCTGGGTGACACTGACTGGCAGGAGGGTGGGGCGGGGCAGTGTCCTCCGGGGCGGAGAGCAGGGGGACCCCACCCAGGCCTCCCTGCCTCCGCCTGGGCTGAGGGGCAACGGAGACTGGTCCAGCAGACTCCCCCCCAACCCTGGACCCCTCCATGAGGCCGCAGGCCTCTCCGCTGGTCAGAGGAGGATGGCCTAGGACCCTGTAGCCCGCCAGCGTCAGCCCCCTTGGCCTTCCCCCATTCCTGGAGCGGGTGGGGCCCACAGTCTCCGCCTGGCACCGGAGAGGCTCCAGGCCGCCTCCCCTTTCCTTGGACGACGGACTTGGACCGCTCGGCTCTCAGAGCTTCCCTCCCCCGCTGCCGCGCAGCTCCAGGGAGGTCTGGCCATTGCCGCACAGACTACCCCCCCCCACCCCCTCCGACATCCCACAGAATCCCCAGCCCCGCCGTCGATGGGTGTCCCCTCCTTGGAGGGGGATGTCCCGTCTCGGAGTCCCAGGGGAGTTCCGCTGAGATCCGACGGACGTCCAGGAGCGGGCCGAAGGGGGGCCCGGTGGAGACTGGGATGTCCCTTGGGGGTAGGATACTGGCGCGGGGCAACCTTCTGGCCCCACGCGTGATGAAGGTGGAGGGCAGTTCGTGGGGGAGGGCTACCAGGCTGAGAATCCCATGGTAGATGCCCTCTGCCCTGTATCTAGGGAAAGGCCTGGAAAGGTACGACACGCTCGTTTGCATCTATCTGCATTATAGCGGTTACCTTCCGGGCTCCAGCACTCTGGGGCGGGGGGTGGGGTGCTCCCTTCCGCTCTGGGGAGCCCCCGCCCCGAGTCCGGGGCGAGGGCGGGGCTCCTCCGGGGTTCCAGCCCCGTCCAGTCAGCGAAAGTGCCCGCCGACCTCCTGCACCCCTCGGACCTCGCTCTGCCGTCGGCCAGGCCCGGGTCCTGCCCTAAGGCGAGGGTGGACCAGATGATCTTTCTCGGCCTGTTGGCTGGAATCCGAGGCCTCCGGGTCCAAGTCCAGAACTCAAGGGGCGGGGCGCTGGGGGCGTGTCCCAAAGGGGCGGGACCAGGGGTCCTTGAAAGACGCGGACCCGGCGCGACCCACCCAGTCCAGCGCTCCGGTCTGCTCCCGCCTGGCCACCTGCCTCGATCCGGCGCCACCATGCCCAAGTGCCCCAAGTGCAACAAGGAGGTGTACTTTGGTGAGCGCACCCCACCCTCGCCCTCCCCGGCTCGAACTGAGGCTTCCCCCGCAGCCCCACGCGGAAGCGCGGCCCAGGGTCCATCCCGCGGGGCTGCCCGGGTGGGCCGGGGGCTCAGGGGGACTTCGGGCAGCGCCTCGGGGCGACACCTAGCCTTGCTGGTGGTCACCTGGGTGTGCCGGTCGGGCCCCCTGCGTCGGGCCGCGGTCCATCTTTGCCCCGCTCTCTCTCCGGGTCTCACTGAGTCTTCTGTCTCTGAATCTCCCCGACTCTGGGTCTCCCTGTCTCCGGGTCCCGCTATCTCGCCCCTTCCCTGGCGCGCCCTGGGCGGGGACTCCAGGGGGTAGGAAGGAACGCGGGGCTCGGGCCGCCTGTCCCATCATTAAGGAGAAACAGATGCGGAAACCCGCGCCCCGGGCGGCGCAACCCCGGCGCCGCCTCCCGCCCCGCGCCCCGGGGCTCAGGGGAGGTGGGGGGCAGAGGAAGTGGGAGGTCCCTCCCGCCCCAACACTGCGGTCGCCGGTGCAGAAGCGGGGGAGGGCTCAGATTGGGAGCCCTGCCCGGTCCTGCCCGAGACCCGCACCTCCTCCTCCAGCCCGACACAAGCCCTCAGGGCGCCCCGAGGACCAGCGTCCACTCCCGCTCGTTAGGCGGGAAGGTCTGGGGACTGGGGTTGCCCCACCCGCGGGGGCACAGGTGCCGCTGAGCTCCCGCGTGGGCACGGGGCGCTGTGGGTGGGGCCTTGGCAGAGACGTCTGGAGAGCGTGGGTGTAAGCGTGTGCGTGTGCCCTGTGTCACCGGGTCCCATCTGTGCCTCTGCAGCTGAGCGGGTGACTTCCCTGGGGAAGGACTGGCATCGGCCTTGCCTCAAGTGTGAGAAATGTGGGAAGACGCTGACCTCCGGGGGTCATGCCGAGGTCGGTGGGGCCTGGTGGTGGCATCGGGAGGCCGAGCGGTAAGGGCTGGGGCAGGGTTTGCAGACCCTCATGGCCTCTCTCCCTGCAGCATGAAGGCAAGCCCTATTGCAACCACCCCTGCTACGCAGCCATGTTCGGACCCAAAGGTATGCTCCCCATCCCCCCTCCCGACCCAGCCCTCCACAGCCCCTGGCCACCCTTAACCTGCCCTCTACCTCTCTGCAGGCTTTGGGCGTGGCGGAGCCGAAAGCCACACTTTCAAGTAAACCCAGGTACCTCCCCACGCCTCACCCTGCCCCGCCCAGTGGCCCTGAGCATGCATCCCCTGCAGTGAGGTCTGAGCACCCTGGGCCTGCACTCACCTCTGTCCTTGTCTGTCTCTGCACAGGTTTTGGAGACCCATCTCCAGCTGCCCGCCGGGCCGCTGCCCTCCAGGCCAATGGTGGGTTTTTCTCCACAGGCACGTGGGGCTCCCCTGTAGAACCCCGTGCCCTCAATAAATGCGGACACTTGGAAGACCTGCCTGTGTGTTTGCATCCCTGGAGCAACGGTGCAGGGGTGTGGCCGGGGTCCTGACGCCAGGCCATGCTGGCACTCCCTCTTCCTGCTGCTGCCAGCCTTGCTGCCTGCTGCCCTGGTGGGCAACCCCTTGTCCAGCTCTGCAGATGTGCAGGCCTCCTCTCTGGTTCTGGAATGGGTCAGCAGGAACAGAGGGCCGCAGGGTGAATCGCTGAGTTGGTTCCGCTTTTGAGAAGCTTTGGGGTGCTGTGGTGGGGAGCCCTTGCCTGCCCTCCCCACTTCCTGTGGCTCCACCCTTGTCTCCATTCTCTACCTGACCCCGCCAGATGGAGCCAGCCCCCTCCGCGCAGCCACCCAGACACCACCCGCCTCATCTGCCCCCACCCTACACCCAGGGGCTAGCACGTGGCTGCTGCCCGATGGGGGACTGTGAGGACTGGCTGGGAAGCAACTGTCTGGAAACTCTCACGTCAGCCTGAGCCTCCCTCAGAGCCCTCCCCGTTCCCTCTACTTGGTCACTGCTGCTCTGGCTCTGGCAGATTGCCCCGTCCCAGGACTTGATCTAAAGAGCCCAGAGGGGTCATCTCAGCCTTGCGTGTGGCCTTCGCTCTGCCCCATAGCTTGGCTGTGGGTCTGGCAGGCTGGCGCTGGACAGGCGTGGGGGGGCCCAGGGAGGTGTGTGGGGTCACGTGTGTGTGTGTGTGTGAGAGAGATTTGGGTGGTTCAGAGAACTCCGAGGCGTGGGAGCTGGACAGCCTCTGGGGATGGATGGGACCCAGGAGGAAGGGGCAGAGGATGCTGAGTGAGCCTGGGTTTCTCAGTGCAGGCGGTGGCGGGAGGGAGGTGTCTTGGGGGCCCAGGGACTGAGGGCTTGTGGGCAGAGCAAGCGCAGAGTGGGGAGTGCGTGCACAGGAAAGTCTGCTGTGAGCTGCTGGGAGGCAGCCCTGAAGAGGCAGCTGACTCCTGGCTGCACAGTGTGGCTCGCTGTCTGGGGGTGACGGGCAGATGAGCGCTTAGAGAGCTGAGGCCTGCAGAAGAGTGTGTCAGGCCTCAGGCTGGGAAGGAGGGTACGCCATGCAGAAGGCCCAGCAGGTGCGAAGGCCAGAGGGAAAAGGGCTCAGGATCCACTTTGGGCAAAGTCCACTGGCACTATGGCGGGCAGGCCTAACCAGGGTGGTCTCCGAGCTCAGAGACAGAAGACAGCCAGACTGGAGGCCTGTGCTGGTCCCAGCCCCAGTTGAAGGAGGACCCTGGAGGGGACTGAAGTTGGGGGTGAGGGGGTAGACAGCAATGCCCCCATGCCTGTGGTGGAAGGAGGACTCTTGGGAGGTAAGCTTCTTGTGGGTTGCCAGTGAAACAGCCTCCTGGGGTCGGGGTGCCTGGGTCAGAGGCCAAGTTATAGAGAAGGGGGTCACTTCTGCGGTGGACACAAGGGATGAGCAGCTGACTGTGCCTGAGATGGGGGGCAGGCAAAGGTGAGGACTGGGCAGAAGATGAGTCAGGCGTGACCACACTTCCTGTCGGCTTGGCCAAAGTTAGGGTTGTTTGGGGAACTTTCTCTGCTTTCTCTCCCTCCCCTACTCTGTCCTCTTTACAGCTTTATTGAGGCATAATTTCATGCCATAAAACTCACCTAGGCACACTCCGTGCTTTTTAACCAGTTCACAGAGTTCTGAACCATCAGCACAATCCAGCTATAGACCAGTCTCCTCGCCCACAAAAATTCCCTCATGGCCATCTGCTGCCACACCCCGGTCCCAGCCTCTGTCCAGGCCACCACTGACCTGCTTCCTGTCTCTGCACACTTGCTTTCTTGACACTTCCCATGGATGAAAAGTAATATTCGTGGGAAGGACTGAGCTGAAGCTCTAATATTACCGCCACCTGATGCAAAGAGCCGACTCGTTCGAAAAGACTCTGAGGCTGGGAAAGATCGAAGGCAGGAGGAGGAGGAGGCCACAGAGGATGAGATGGTTGGATGGCATCACCCACTCAATGGACATGAGTTTGAGCAAATTCTGGGAGATAGTGAAGGACAGGGAAGCCCGGCGTGCTGCAGTCCATGGGGTCGCAAAGAGTTGGATACGACGTAAGCAACTGAACAACAATAACACACCACATAGTATTTTGTGTCTGTCCTCCTCCATGTCTACGTGAGTCCTCCTAGATTCCCGGCACTTGCATTGTGGGGCCGTCTAGTAGACTTAAGGCTAGCTCTGAAATAACCCAAACTGCTTTCCAAAGTGGCCGTGAGGATCCGCTCTTCAGTGGTAGGAAGAAGGCTGAAGGGGCAGGACAGAGGCAGGCAGGGGTGGGGTGGGGACGAGGTAAGGGGTAAAGGGGGCTGGCGAGGCAGAGGCTGGACTGGACAGGAAGGGACCGGGCGGGGGTCTGCAGGCGTGGTGTGAAGGGGAGAGTCGCCGGCCGGTCGGGAGGAGCACCCGCCCGCGTGGCGCGGGGCTGATCGGTCGAGGGACGTCCCCCGGTGCCGGCCCCCACGTCTGCAGCCTGGTGCGCGCAGCGGGGCCCGGGAGACCGCAGCGGCCTGGTCCGAGAGGGCTCGAGGAGGCCGAGGATCGCTCCCGGGGATGTTGGCGCCCGGCAGCGCTGCCCTCCCAGCCGTCGGTGGTTGCCCGGCAGCCGTTTGGAGCAACGGGAGGTGCGGGGCAGATTCGCGGGGTCCAGACAAGGCGGGTCGGGGTTGCAGCACTTGAGTCGCGGAGGCGGACCTCGCAGAGCTCTCAACGCCGATTGGTGCTCGACGCACCGGAAGTGCCTCCGCACGGGGCTGCACAGACAGCACCCAATGTCGGAGGCGCCACTCATTGGGAGGGAGCTGGAGGCGTGCCCTAGCCTGCTCGGTGATTGGGCGCGGGCCCAGCGGGGGCGGGACTTGCGCGGCGATTGGGCGCAGGCCCAGCGGGGGCGGCATCTGCGCGGCGATTGGGCGCGGGAAACCCGCGTTCGCGGGGATTGGACGCGCGGGCGGCGCGCAGTCCTGGGGAGGCCAGTGGAAGCAAGCTCCATGGGGAGGCGGCGGCGGCGCCAGCCCTACCCGGCGGACGCGGCCCGGGCTCTGCCCGACGCCATCGCTGCGTTGAGCCGGACGCTGCCCGCCGCGCCCAGCCCCGAGATCTTCCGCCGCGCCAAGTTTGACCGTCCGGAGGCGGTGAGGCTAGCAGGGCAGGCAGCAGGGCGCGGTGGGCCCGTGGGTGGACGAGGGGAGGTGGCCAGCTCCACTGGCAGTCGCTCTTTGATCCCCGTAGGCCCCCGCGCTCTGGCGGCTGCTCTTCCATGTTCTCTCGCCGCTGTCCGCCGACAGCGCCTCGGTCTCGTTCGCCCTGGGTAAGCCTTCCCGCCAGGCCCGCCCCGGCCCCGCCCACCGCACAGGGCCCCGCCCACCAACCACTTACGGGACAGCCCTCTGCAGAGCCCCGCCCACCGCCCCGCCTCCCCGTCGGACCCGCCGTGGTGACCCCGCCCCTCCTCGCCTCCTGGCTAGGTCCCCGTGTCCCTACTGGACCCTTCCGAGCGTGCTCTCTGCTCTGGGGTCGGGGGTGGGGCCCTTCCTTAGGGTCTGGGGGACTGTCGCCTCCAGTTGGTGGCCCTCCTGAGCTGGCGTCTCCTATCGCAGAGGCTCAAGTCCGTTGGGTGAAGTCGGTGCTGCACTCCCAGGGCTACCCGAGGCGGGCGCTGGTGCAACTCCAGGACGACGGCTCCCAGGGTGGCCGCGAGCTGCTGCTGGCCCTGGCCTGGCTCCTGGCCCGCGGGCCCCTGCCCGAGCGGCTGCTGACCCAGAGCCACGTGCGGCTGGGCGATGAGATGCCCGTGTGTGAGGTGGGTGCAGGAGTGTGAGCCAAGCCCAGCCCAGGCTGGAATCCGGGGTGCGTGAGCTGGATCGGCCGAGTCGGCCCTGTGGGGGTCAGCATTGCCCTCCTTAATGCCTGGGCGAGCACACGGAGGCAGGGCAGGGGCCGGTGTGTCCACAGGGTCTGTTCCCAACTCTTCCTGGCATCCCCCAGACCTGGCGGCGGTCACTCCCATGGGCCTCCTTTCCCTTTCGGGGTCCCTGCATGGGGTGCAGGGGCAGCGTGTGACCATTGCTCCCTTCACAGTGTGAGGCCCTGGCCAGCCCTGGCCCGCCTGCTCCCCGTGTGGAAGCAGAAGGCTCTGTGGACATCCGCCACCTGCAGTGGCTGATGGGGAAGCTGCAGCTCCGGTGGCGAAACCTGATGGCCGGTCAGCAGGAGCAGTGCGCCCTCCTGGGCAAGGTAGTGCTGCTCGTGCAGTGCCTCTCTGCCGCACAGGCCTGTCCAGCATTCCCAGCTCGGGATGGGGCTGGCCTTTGGCTGGATGTGGGCCTTCCCGTGCCTGGCTGGGGACTAATTGGTTGAGGGTGGCCCGATGGTGGGATGCTGGGGCTCCAGATTGTCCAGGAGGGGCCTTGAGCAGGTGCTGCTAGGTGTCTGTGGGGCAGGGAATCAGGGAAGCCAGTGGGGGAAGGCACCTGGTCCTCCCACCATCTCCTGGGTGTGGGCCTACAGGCAGTGGTCAGCTCTCTCCGGGGTCCTGAAGGCTGGTAGGGCTCAGCTGTGGGGGCACAGGGGTCCCCCCACCAGCCCAGGGCATGTTCTGGGCTGAGAGGTGACTGGGCAGGTGGCCTGGGCTCCCTCCAGCACAGGACTCTTTGGTGCTAGAACCCCTGGCAGAGGATCTTTTGCTCCGCTCGCCTTTCCTGGAACTTGTC